TCGGAGTAGAAATTGACATTTCAAAAGTTATCGCAATGGATTTGGTCATACATGGGAAAATGATGCTATTATTGAGTGTATAGCTGTAGCAGTAGGGCTACTGTTTGTCAGAGGAAGTCTTCTGCCACCTTAAAATCCCAAATGAAGATTCCAAAAAGACGGAAAAGACTAACGTGCCGTCTCTGCGCCAGGTAATATTCTTCATGACATCTCAGTTTGGATAATAACTTTCACCTAATGTATATATCAGTAGGCCTAGGCTTATCGGGCATGAATGGGACTTGCTTGGTGCTTTATTAAAGAGGCTATATACAATGCATTCAGAAAGTATCCAGACCCCTTGACTTTTTCCACATTTTGTTACGTTAGAGCCTTATTCTAAAATGGATAAAATAAAATAAATGTCCTCATCAATCTACACACAATACCCCATAATGACGAAGCGAAAAACAGGTTTTTAGAAATGTTTGCAAATGTATTAAAAATAGAAACAAAAATACCTTATTTACATAAGTATTCAGATCCTTTGCTATGATACTCGAAATTGAGCTCAGGTGCATCATGTTTCCATTGAACATCTTTGAGGTGTTTCTACAACTTGATTGGAGTCCACCTGTGGTAAATTCAATTGATTGGACATTATTTGGAAAGGCACACACCTGTCTATATAAGGTCCCATAGTTGACAGTCTATGTCAGAGCAAAAACCAAACCATGAGGTCAAAGAAATTGTCCGTAGACAGGATTGTGTCGAGGCACAGACTTGGGGAAGGGTACCAAAACATTTCTGCAGCATTGAATGTCCCCAAGAACACAGTGTTCTCCATCATTCTTAAATGGAAGAAGTTTGGAACCACTAAGGCTCTTCTTAGAGCTGGCCGCCCAGCCAAACTGAGCAATCGGGGGAAAAGGCCTTGGTCAGGGAGGTGACCAAGAACCCGATGGTCACTCTGACAGAGCTCCAGAGATCCTCTGTGGAGATGGGAGAACCTTCCAGAAGGACAACCATCTCTGCAGCACTCCACCAATCAGGCCTTTATGGTAGACTGGCCAGACGGAAGCCACTCCTCAGTAAAAGGCACATGACAGCCCGCTTGGAGTTTGCATAAAGGCACCTAAAGGACTCTCAGACCATGAGAAACAAGATTCTCTGGTCTGATAAAACCAAGATTTAACTTTTTGGCCTGAATGCCAAGCGTCACGTCTGGAGGAAACCTGGCACTATCCCTACGGTGAAGCACGGTGGTGGCAGCATTTTCAGCGGCAGGTATTGGGAGACTAGTCAGGATCGAGGGAAAGATGAACGGATCAAAGTACAGAGAGATCCTTGATGAAAACCTGCTCCAGAGCGCTCAGGACCTCAGACTCGGGGCGAATGTTCACCTTCCAACAAGACAACAACCCTAAGCACACAGCCAAGACAATGCAGGAGTGGCTTCAGGACAAGTCTCTGAATGTCCTTGAGTGGCCCAGCCAGAGCCCGGACTTGAACCCGATCGAACATCTCTGAAGAGACCTGAAAATAGCTGTGCAGCGATGCTCCCCATCCAACCTGACAGCGCTTGAGATGATCTGCAGAGAAGAAAGGAGAAACTCCCCAAATACAGGTGTGCCAAACTTGTAGTGTCATACCCATGAAGACACAAGGCTGTAATCGCTGCCAAAGGTGCTTCAAAAAAGTACTGAGTAAAGGGTCTGAATACTTGATATTGAAGTTATTTATTTTTTATAAATTAGCAAAAATGCCTGTTTTTGCTTTGTCATTATGGGGTATTGTGTGTAGATCGATGAAGAAAACAAACAATTTAATCAATTTTAGAATAAGGCTGTAACGTAACAAAATGTGGAAAAAGTAACTGTATGACTTCTGCCTCTGGGGCTGTTGTCTAATTGTTAGTCTATTGTAAATTACTTTAGGATGAGATGTCAGATTTGTGTAATTGTTCCAACTTTTTACTTGCCAATGTTACATTTAATGATACAGGTTCAACAGTGGCTTGGATCAGGCCCTATTTACAACATTTATACTGCCAAATATAGATCTGGGACCTATAAAGTAATAGATAAAATAGATGACCTATAAAATAGATGTCATTAATAGATTGTGATATTTTTTTAAATGTTTTTTCTTTAATTTTCAACTGTCCATTGCTATATACAGTATATCTCGTAGTTCTAATCATTGTTTATATTAATGTTATGCTAAATTATTGCATTGTATTGTGTGTATGTGTATTGTTGTCAATTATAGTATTATTTGTCATAATTTCATTGTCTACTCATTCAAATTAAACTGGCATTCTCATAAATATTATTTTTCTATATATAAATATTAATCTAAATATCTCTAAACATCATTGCTTTGGTTGTGGAGGCAGTTGTAACAAACATCTTTGTATTTTTTATTTTTTTAGGCTTGTAGGCTAACAAAGGAGGGTTTTGGCATCGACTAAATTGGCCAAGTTCAGGATTTTTTTCTCAGACGTAAGGTTTTTGAAGAGGTTGTAAACATGGTGAGATGTTAATGTATTCTTCAAAGTTCCCTTGGAAATGCGGCTGCACTTTTACCCACCAGGCTGTCGCGGCTTCCTTCGCGGATTTCAAGGAAATTTCATGATTTCGCTTCATCGTTCTGGGAAACTTGAATGCAAACCCTTGGCTTTTCGCAAAGTAGATCCCCTCACACTATTGATAGCATAGGAAAGCAAATACACATCTAGTTGTGTGTTATTATTGAAAGGAATCTATCAAGTCTCTCACTATCCTCACTGATGCACTGCCCCTATGTTTTGCTGTTCGCTATGGCAACTGTACCCGGACCTATCACAGCCCTGTGAAAATGAGACTATGGTGATGCTACTATGATTTTCCTTTTCCAAGATTATTATTATACACCCAAAGGGGGGAACAGGCTTGCAGTGTTTCCCTACATGAGCAGAATCTGTCATAACACCTGGCAAGATGGCCATAATATTATAATAGATTATATATTATCTTAAACCATACAACATGAAGCCTACTTTTAACGAACTTATAGGGTGGCATCATGATGAGCAGTCACTATAACTGCTAATCAGCAATTTTCTCGATTGATTAATTATTATTCAGTCATACTTATGAAAGTATAAAATAAGCTTAAAGGGATAGTTCACCCAAATTACAAAATGACACATTAATTTCCTTACCCTTTAAGCAGTCTATGGACAAGGAAACCAATATGTTTTGTAAATTGGGTGAACGATCCCTTTAATGATTTAAGGTTAAAGTAAAATATTAATTCCAATTCCATGGCTGTAGTGTGTGGGAGTTAATATGGAGGTTGTGTAGAGGACGCTAAGTGAGGAAATACTCCCTGAACACCTTTCTGCCCCGTTCTAGAACTCTGAATGCTTACTGGTTCAATTCAGTACTTCTGCCTGGTCCTACATTCACTTGAACTACTTACAATATTGCCTGCTCTTGTGGGTTTTAGAGCAAGTCTGATGAGAGCACTAGGGCCGCATTCAGCATGGTGCAATGTTTATGGGACATTCAGATAGAAAATGTTACGTAGAACGAACATGCACCTCTTGACATGTAGAATAAGGAGTCACGTAAGCTCTATTCATGACATTTCTATCTGCAAGGTTCCACAACATTTGCCTACTGAACATGACCCAGGTCTTGCTACATTTGCAGTGTTACCGGCCTGTAATCTTGCTGTGCTAAGAGAGTGCTTGAAATAACAACCACGACAACATAATTTTCCAGTTATTGGCACGTTGACGTTCAATGACACAGCATCCATTCACACGCTTCCCGGCCGTAGCAATGCAAATGTTGGGAACCGACCCAGGTGTATTGACAAACCTTGCTTCAAAGCCATAAGCACTGGCAATACCACCCTCATAGGCTCACACCCTCTGTCTAAACCTATTGTATGTGTTGTAGCTGACTAATCTGCTACATAATGTACACAGTCTCTCTACTGGCATCAGCCTAGGCATGACTAAGTAAACCCCCCTACCCCCCCCCCCCCACCAATGGAGCTGAGCTGTGCATGCATAACTAATGGTCCATGGCCCTGCATGCAGAATAGCATGGTTTTGGTACTAACCTACTTACATGCATCACTCTAATCCAGATATTGTTTACCAAGAATAATCATAAGCATCTAGAAAATAAAAGTTGATAGATATCGGTTCGAACCCAATACATATACTGTCTGTAATAGTTTAGAGGGCTAACAGCGATTGACCAGATTGCAATGTAAAAACATATTTGATATGTCAGATATTGTTTTATAAAGTCACATTTAAGAAATGTCTTTCTCATCGGGCAAAACTGGTTGCAATGATGTCATGGTCAGCTTGTATAGTGGTTGTATAATGAAGTTTTGCTGAAGTCTTTTTAGCAACCAAATCTGGTTATCTGGTGATGCCTTGATCTCGTCATGAAGAGGACGTCTTTACCTGATTGTAACAGAGATCAGTTGGTTGTAATCTAGTTATATGACGTCTTCTTAACCCCCAAAAAATTAGTTTACAACCAGAAGATTTGAGGCCAAATAATATTTCCATTACTATTCATTACATAGATCTATTGTCAATTTGTTGTTTGAGAATGGTTATGATCCCGCTTTATAGTAGGTGTCACTAAAACCATGTATCACATACGAATTACATATATTGTAGGTACACTGTTGGAATACATTGTTACATAATCAAGCTTTTTTACAAAACTATTAACTTTGCGCTCAAGCAGTGTGATGGACTGTGCTTCAAGTGCCCAAAGTAATTAGAAATTTGACTTGGCCACACCCTAAGGAAAGTGCATCTCCTTATTGGGCTTGATGTTATTCAGATATGAAGGACATTTAACATCCATGGACAGATGTAGTTGCTGTCGTTGATGTACCTCCAACAAACAGTATACCTAAGGCCTTATTTTCCATTGTTCACTTGAGGCAAGAAATGCAGAGTATGTACTGTCTGTCCCCCTTGTTCTTTCAAGACAATCTAGATGTCAAACTACAACCGTCAATACCAGCAAGCTTTCTGTATCACCATGGTATTTGCACGGACAACGGCAAATACCATTTTGTTTTCTCCTCCACTTTGGCCCGAGCTAACAAAACGAATGGCTTTATAAGACAAGCCTGACTTATGCCTTTTGCTTTGAGTGCGCTGTGTGATGCCTGGTCTTGGGTATTGGGTTAAAGGAAAGGGAATAAGACTGACTTATGTCCTATTGAATATCCTTTTCCAGATAAATGGCTCGTTTAAGTTGGGTGCTGCTCGCATTCTGTCGGGCTGGCAGATGCAGTGCCTAGTGCCAGCCCTCCAGGACCACGCCAACATGAATGGGACTGGGGAGACGGCAGACATACTGCCGCCTAACTGCTTGGTCAAGGACCGATGGAAAGTGGTGAGTACTCTACATAGTAGATCTAGTGGTGGTTTTGTCTTGGTGTATAGTCTCTCTATATCAGTATATCCCTAAGGGGCTAAGTACAAGGTTACCTTCACACACACAGATTTGACTCCCCATCACCAATGTTCTCCGTGTCTCACCAGAATTAAAGGGATATTGTACTCGAAGATCTGTGTTTTCATACCTTGAAGTTGAGCAAATAAATATAAAATCAGTTTGTCAGGTGTTTTCATACCTTTAAATCAAGCAGATTACAGAATTCTGCAGGCCTCCATCCAGCCTGAATGGGAAAGATTATAACTAATTAATTTATTCCTAGTCATTTGGGACCACAAGATTTTGTCCTTAACTCTACATTTTACATTTTAGTCATTTAGCAGACGCTCTTATCCAGAGCGACTTACAGTTAGTGAATACATTTTTTTTTTTATACTGGCCCCCAGTGGGAAACGAACCCACAACCCTGGCGTTGCAAACGCCATGCTCTATCAACTGAGCTACATCCCTGCCGGCCATTCCCTCCCCTACCCTGGACGACGCTGGGCCAATTGTGCGCCGCCCATGAGTCTCCCGGTCACGGCCAGCTGCGACAGAGCCTGGATTCGAACCAGGATCTCTAGTGGCACAGTTAGCACTGCGATGCAGTGCCTTAGACCACTGCACCACTCAGGAGTACTACTCTACTCTTGGATCTACAGAACAGAATGTAGAATTGACTCAATACTGCTTTTGGGGTGTTAAATCATTGGACAAAATGTTTTTTGGGGGGTGAAATTTGCCTTTAATGGTGGTATCTTATACGCAGCTCCACTCATTCGGCCCACTGAAGTAAGGAAGTGATTGCGTAACAGCCACAATTACTGTGCTTCTGACGGTGATCACTTGGACGACCCTGTCAGAACCAATCACGGATCGACAGATCCCTCTGCCAAAGAGCTGAGGAAAAAAGTAGAGGGTGTTTGCACATGGCTGGTCAATATTTGTCTTCGGCACTTGGCTGTCATGATCAAGCCATAAACTATAATAGGGTTGTTCAAAGCACTTAAGTACTTGGTGAAAGAAAGAAAAAAGGCAATAGAGGAGTTGAGGAAGTGAGGCTGGAGAAAGAGGGGTGGGACGAAGGAGGGCAACTATCTAGTCACTCAGCAAAAATGAATTCACTCAATTACTGTTTGATCAATAAGACACACCTCTCTATCGCTTGGTCCCAGATCAGTTTGTGCTGTCTTGCCAACTCATTTTGGTCGTTGTCATGCCAAACAATGACAATGACCATAGCAGTTAGCAAGACAGCACAAACAGATCTGGGACCAGGCTAACCTCTCTGTACTCTTCCATCAAAACTAGTGTTCCTCATGCGAAAGGGTTTGTTAAGTTGAGCTTATTTTTGATTAGGACAGTACAAGCCAGCATTCTAACAGCACTAGAAGATTGTTGTTTGATACGCTTTTTATCCTCGACACCTTTCTAGCTAAAGAAAATCGGAGGGGGAGGTTTCGGGGAGATCTATGAAGCGCTGGACCTGTTGACGCGGGAGAACGTGGCATTGAAGGTGGAGTCGGCCCAGCAGCCCAAACAGGTCCTGAAGATGGAGGTGGCAGTCCTGAAGAAACTGCAGGGTAAGGGCCCACTGCAGTGGCCATTTTGGGCCTTTCTGCAAGTTTTGTCAATGAGCCTGGCAGTGCCACTGCGGCGGCCATTTTGTGTTTACCGTTCTGCTTATTCAATGAGTATGAAGGTGTCTGTGCTGCTCAGCCACTCTTCCTTTACTTGTCATTCTTACAGTAAATGGCATTCTTTGTTGATGTCACTTGACTTGAACCCAGATTCCACCGCTGACACCATGTGTCAATATACTTTGTGATGTAGTCATGACAGACAAATATATAAAGTTTCAGTCAGCTACAGTACATAGTCAAGTAAGAACATTTGTCTTTCCTGTGTAAGATAAATATGTGTTACATCAATAATGCTTAAGACTGCACTTATGATTGGTTATAAAATCTGCTATGTCATGCTCATGACAGTCTAGTGAAAAGCGTAACCACCTCTTCTCATGACAGCACAACATAGGTTTCGGGACAGTAGAACCAGGTAAAGTGTTACTGCTTTGGGTGTCCTTTGAGACATCCTGTCAGAGAGTGACGCAAAAGGAAGCAGAATTTCCTTTCACATTGTCATGACCACCCTTAAGCATCCTACAGAGTTAAAAGCTGCAGAGCCATGCAGTCTATATGTAATAATGGGCCGCCAGACTATTGGGACTAGGTGGCTGTGGACTTTGAATAGAGCTTTAGTCCAAGTGGCTAGGGTGAGCTTCAATGGCTCAGCCTGCCTTGCACTAAGCTTATTTAATGGAGCCTTCTCTTCCGCCTGGCCTTATTTAGTGGGTCACCGATGCACTATTTAAGCATATCTGTTTCGCTTTTTGCATTTTGGTGTGCAGCTTGAATTATGGCCCTTGAATCTTTTGCTCGAGGTTCAAGCAAATGTGGAAACAGATGTCTCACTCGCTTACTACACCCATAGTAGCTTCACGGAAGACTGGCTAAGAATAGCTTAGACCTAATGAATCAATAGGTAACCTACTAAACTACTCCACATCCATTGCTCATGTTGTTATTGATTAAGGGGCCTTTGATCTCCTTGAAATTCAGTGTAGGTAAAATGTCTACAAGGCCATTATGACATAGCTGGAGTGAAAAATACTCCACTCATGATAAAAAGGCCTTTATAAATGGTTATACGTACATCGGTAGGAAGTAGAGAGGTCCCAACAATCAAATATTTTACTATTGTGCCCTTAAAGCCAAACATGCATCCTATCAGCACTTTATTGATGCTTGATTGCATGGTCCCAACAGCATTTCCAAAACAGTTAACAAACTAGAGCAAATATTTTGGCTTAGACTGTGCCTTTCATTCTGCGATAACAGGCCCTCTATATGTTTTTATGTAGATGAACTGTTGTGACTCACAGCATGTTTTTGCATGTTGGGTGGGGCAGCAGTAATGTGTTAAACGTGATGGCGATCACGTGGCACATAGAAGGAGAGCAACTCTCTCCTCCTGGAGTATGCATGTCAATGTGCCAGGGTAACAAGTGACTCACTTTAGCTATGAGTCATCATCACAATATGAGGAAAAAAGTAACCTCGAAAGCTGTCACATGTCAGTCACCGTGTGTGACTGTCACCCAAAGCGACACGTGTGACACATGATCGCTTAACAACATGTACTATGTCTTTGAAGAAGCTAACGTTTGTGTATGTTGGTATTGCTATGTACATATTAAAGGAAGACTCTGCATCATCAAACGTAGCGGGGCGGAACAAACAACAAATTCAAATCTGCCAAGACTGCTACTGTTGTCTCTTCCCAGCATGCCCATATCAGGAGGTGCCAATACTGTTGTTGTTGTAAGCAGGACTGTAAGCAGAACAACACCCTTTGGTGTATGATAATGTCATATTATGGACTCTACCTTTCAAGGAATATCAAACAACCAAAACAATGAGATCAGAATTTTTCCAAATTTTCGGTACTAACTGAGTCACATTAACAGGGTGCTCCATCAAAAGATGAATGGTGCATGATGAATAACAATGATTTATGCTGATCATCCTTAATTGGGATTAACTGTGAAGAAAAGGAAGACCAGGAAACATGGACTGGCCAGCTCATTAATTTGTCCAGTTTTATTTGTCTGGTAATATTTTATCTAAAGTTTTCTTGTATAGAATATTTAACACAAGGCCAGGTCCTAGAGAAAGAAAGAAACTCTGAAAAGAACAGTCCTGAGACAGATGTTTTCAGAAGAAAACCTGGAAAGAAAAGATTGCTTTATCCGTTCTTCAGCCATTGAGTGTCAACATGAGTGGTTCTGCTGAATTTGCATTGATTTTGGTGATATGGGAATTTGAATTGGATCTTACCTAGACCCTGCCAACACTCTCATCTCCCTGGTGTAACCAATGAAAACCAATCCAATCATCAAGTTGAAGTGATATTTGAACTACGATTCTTAAAATATGCCTTTCTTTTTGTTTAGGTAAAAACCATGTGTGCAAGTTTATTGGCTGTGGGAGAAATGACAAATTCAACTACGTGGTCATGCAACTTCAGGTAAGAAGCTGACCTTTGCTTTTTATAAAGATTGACCACCATCCCCCAAAAGCATTCTGTGAGAATCTGACCACACTTCAACAAAAACATGTTTTTCTAAAGAAGTGCAATTGATCAAGCCTGCATAAGGCATTGTGAAATGTGAAGTCTTTGCAAATAGGCCATATTAACTGAATAAATTATTAATAAGCAGCGGTTGGTTAGAGGCTGACAAAGCACATACTGATGAAGGATAATAATGCAAATGTCATATGTCACATGATCCAGCATAGCATTGTCAGCTATGCTAGCAACCAGTACATGTCATTTCACTCCTTCTATAATATGAAAGGATCTTATGGAGTCTATGGCTGTCTTAATCCAATCTATTGTCAATTGAGACACAGCCTATAAAGCTGTTATGTCATGGTACTTGGGTGTAAAAATCCATCATGACCAAACTTTTGATATTGTATGACTTATTGACAAGGCTGAAATCAGCTTTGAATACAAAACAACTCTGTGCTGTACATAATTTACTTCATATGTTGATATGCTGTGATGACTTAGCCAAGCCAATGCCCAAGTTCCAATTAAATTACATTTGATACTTCTTAAATTAATTAAGTTAAATTGGAACTCAGGGTCGTACTCATAAGGCATGAAACGGAAGAAAACATACTGAAACAGGGGCTGACTACCTGGACTAACTGGTCCAATACGAAACGTTAATTTTAGTTTTCCGTTGCAAAATGGTTTAAAACATTACATGCCCTAATAAGGCGGGAAAGTAAGCTGGTACGGTCCAGTACTGAGTCCCTGCAAAATAACTAGGCTAGTGGGGGTACGCCGTGCCGGTAAAACCTGAGCCTATCACAATTAACACAAAATGCCCAAAAACGATAAACTATTACACCATTATTTAACATTACTGCATGTCAGCCGCATGAAAAGTTAGCGAATTGACTTGCAAACCGGGTGGCATACGCTCCAAATTGTATTGTGGTTCGACTTACATTTTGCCAAGGAGGAGATGAGCGGTCGAGACAGAGGCGCGCGCGGACAACAGTGGACGAATCAGTTCAGGTGTAGGCCTAATGACAATTGCAGAATGTCATTACAATACATGTACAGTAGGTGTTTTGTAACTGATGTCTCTTTCCATTCAACAAATTGCGGGTGCACAGTGCACTGTTGGTGTTTGGATCCTGGAATTATTTAGTGAGTGGATGAACGTAGCCTACAGGAGCGCCTTTTTTAAGTGATTGTTTGACAATCAGATGAAAACATCATAACTGGTTGTGTTTATGCCGCATTAAAAGGGATAGGCGGTGCGTCCATAAGGCTAGGGGAAGCTTTCCCTAAAGTAAATGTAATTAAATTGCCAAAATGATATAGCCTAATTAGTTTACTCCTGTCTATACAGAAATAAATTAAATCATTCAAAATAGTCTACAAACCAGAAAGCATGATTTGGCCACAGAGGATCATTAGCTTCTTTTTTTTTTTAAGCTGTGGATTGTTTTCAATTGCATAGTCTATAGTTGGATAGGCCCGCAATATGGGCAGCTCGCACGGCAAATAGATGATTATTGAGTTGCGACTGACAGTGAAAAGCAGAGAGACCCAGCCAGGCATATCGCAATATTTAAAAATACAATCTTGTGTTTGTAGTCTAGGTCTGTCTACTCTTCGCGCTGCATTGAACAGTCTTTTCTGCGAACAGTGATTGAGTTATATTATTAGCCTAAATTATGATTATCCAATCTAATCATCACATTAGGAATAGTAGGCTATCTTACATAAGTCTGCAAATGCGAGGATGCATGGAATGCTTTATTATAAAGGTGCATGTTTATGGTGAAAATTAGCTTCCCCAAACTTAAAACCCACGCGCCGCCTATGTTAAAAGTGATATGGCGAATTTATACTAGGTCTAGGCTACTTGGCCCACAGACATCATATATGAAATTAATGGGGATTTTATATGTAATTCTATGATTACAGCTAGGTGCTTGGGTGTCCCGTACCGGTATGAAATAGGGTGAAGTTGCCCCTAAATGCTGATTTTGGGTCAGATTTGTATTTTCCCCACAAAGGTTAAGGTTAGGATTGGGGGAGGGAAGCTGAGCCTAGATCTGGACCTAGAGAGAACTTCACCCCAGAGCGTTGTTTTGTTTTGGGGGGTGGAGCAGGGACGCAATTTGGCGGACCTGAGGAGGAGCCAGCCTCGGGGGACCTTCACCATGAGCACCACGCTCCGCCTGGGGAAACAGATCCTGGAGTCTATAGAGGCCATCCACTCTGTTGGCTTCCTGCATCGAGATATCAAACCGGTACGTATCATACATAACATAACATACAGATGCAGACTTTTTTTGTTGCACGTGTCAAGGAACAGCATGCTAAAGCTTTATGAAGGTTTATCAGTGCTAATTCTAAAATACAATGCTTAAATGCAAATGTATTTCATTTTCGCATTCCAATTTACCAATTTACCATTTAACCATTGCATTTTAGAATTGGCACTGATAACCTTCCATAATGCTGTGGCATGTTGTGCTGTGCCATGACGCATGCAAAAAAGTCTGCATCTGTATATCAAAACGGAAATGTGTCTTTTTGCCATCGGTTCGTTTCCTTCCCAATCCCAGACACGCAGCATTGGGTGAGCAGCAGAACAGCGACTCTGGAGCAGGTTAGGGGTTAAGTGCTTTGCTTAAGGGCACAACAGCAATCTGTGGCATCTTACATGGTCCTATAACCAATGTTTAATCAAACAATGCCCCCTTAAGAACCCCTTTTTGACTAGCTCTAATGGCACAGTGATGGTTCCTTGGTGTTGCTACAGTAGCTCTTACCAACTGAGCCACACGACCATATCTGTAATGCACTGAATAATCATGTATTTTCTCTGCAGTCAAACTTCGCCATGGGAAGGCTGCCTTCGACCTTAAGGAAGTGTTACATGTTAGACTTCGGCCTCGCGCGGCAGTACACCAATACCACTGGAGAAGTCCGCCCTGTAAGTATCCTCTTTTGTTCCTTTGCTTTGGTTTGTCAAACGAAATGTTAGTTTACATTTTAGTCATTTAGCAGACATTCTTATCCTGAGCGACTTATAGGAGCAATTAGGGTTAAGTGCCTTGCTAAAGGGCACATCGACAGAGCCTTTGTCACGAATGCTGATGTGGATGCGGTGGTGGAGTCAAACGCAGGACACAGAGGAATAAGTCAAAACGACTTTACTATAACCTCGAAAGGTACACACCAAATAAACGGCCTCAAAATACACTAGAGGCGAAACAAATACGCAAGTGCGTAAAACCAACACGAAGTGCCAAGGTACCGAACCTATACATCCATGACAAGCGGACAATAACACACAAAATACAAACATAACATAGGGGAACTTATAGGTGACATAATCAATACAGAATACGAAACAGGTGCACTAACTAGACATGACAAAACAAACATCGAAAACATCAAACGGTAGTAGCTAGTACTCCGGGGACGACGAACGCCGAAGCCTGCCCGAGCAAGGAGGAGGAGCAGCCTCGGCGGCATCCGTGACAGCCTTGTCAGCTTGGGGATTTAAACCAGCAACCTTTAAGTTACTGGCCCAACGCTCTAACCATTAGGCTACCTGCCGCCCAGTTCAATGTTATTGTGATGTTATTAGAATAATGTCCAGCTCGTGAGTAAGTTCCAGGTCATCTTTATTGCAATGGTGAGGCTGCACAGATTAGTAGGTCTGGGATTCCAACATCTGGGCCTGTATTTAGAAACCATCTCAGAGTAGGAGTGCTGATCTAGAATCAGGTCCCCCTGTCCATTTATTATGATCTAAAAGGCAAACGTGATTCTACCTAACATCCTACTCTGAGACTCTTTATGAAATGGTAATACGATATAACCGTGTTCTGCGATGTGCAGCGTGACAGAAATGAAGAAGACCTGGAACGCGCCCAGTGTTCCCCAAATGGTGGGTCAGGATCAATGACGTCACATGACCCACCCTAAAGCATGTAACACACCAAGAATCTCACTGCCGATAGACTGCCGATAGGTACTTATCACAGTGGGAGGCCATTCCTTCTCTTGCTAGAACAAAAGCGGTACCTGCTGCGTGCTGACCCGGTTGCGACGAACCTACCGATTCTACTTGTAGAATCGCAACGCTCGTCAGTGGCAACAACTTGACTTTGAGCCAATCAAAGAGCATGAGAAAAAAGTAGTGCATTTTCTCCGTACATCCACAGAAGAGCCATTCACACTTCATAGGCTATGGGATGGTAGTTAGCTAAGTGCACAGACGCAATGCACACAACACTAAATACTTCCTCCAAGCTAGCGAACCACTGTAGCTAGTACTGACATACATAATTAAAATCATAATGTATTAGCTAGTTTCCATTAAACAGCTGCCTGTGTTAGCTACCGAGTTAGGGCAGTGTCCTTAGCTATCTAGCTATATTGCGCTAGCTACCGAATATGCTAACATTAGCTAGCTAGCTAAACATTTGGTTATGGGCTGGCACTGGTAGTATGGGATTATGGAGAGTGAATTCAATTGTTTATTCGTCATCTTGCTAGGTAGTTTTTTTTTTTTAATAGCAAGATTAGCGCAGATATATTGGACTCTAGACCATAAGCAATTTTGCACGAATATGCATTGCCAAACAATGCTACTTCCCCCTAATGATTTGGAATATTTTAACATGGTTGAGTGGCTGACGACTTCCAAGGTCTTTGCTGCGTGAACACAAAATTGATTGACTGCCTATGCTGTCGGCAGGCAAAAGTTTGATAATCCTACCAGTGTGTCTGAGCTTTAAGATCCTCTTAGCTCCTAGCTCAGGACTGGGTCATGCTCATCAGGCAGCAAACAGAAGAAAACAGACTGAAACAAGGAAGGATTACCTGGATTTGTCCAGTAACAAACACACATTTTCAGTTTGTGTTACAAAACATTTTAAAACGTTTTCCATAATGAACACGACCCATGACTAGGTTGTGGGTTACAATACAGAAGTTTGAGGATCACTGGACTATATTATCATCGTTGGTACTGTTTTGTTTTCATTCAGACACTGGGTTTGGTGCATTGCAGTTCAATTTATTCAAAAGTGAGCTCATTCATTGTACACTGGATAAGATGGAGTCCAATATCTGAATCCTTGTTTTGCTGTTCATTGTTTACATGGGTAGCTGTCCAATATGCCTGGCACTTAGGACTGGTTTCCCGGGCCCAGATTAAACCTATTACCGGACTAAAATGTATGCTCAATGGACAATCGCCATTGAAAGTGCTTTGATGTCCAGGAATAGGCTTAATCTGGGTCTGGGAAGCCTGTTGGTAAGATCAAACAGATGACAGTTAAAATGCATTAGCCAGTGACTGCTTATGACATCGGTTACGTTGCGTTAGCTAATGATAGTACAGTGACATCTTCAAAGTGACATCTTAAAAATGGATGGATCATATTGGTTATATTTGTGCCCAGTCAATGGTTTGGCTAATATACAGTATAATATATACTGTAAGATATGCCACTTAGCAGACACTTTTATTTTTTAGTATGCGATTTCCTGCAGGCTATGGTTATTTTTATCTGCCTTTTAAATTACCCAGAAAACACTTATTATTTAGAATATCAAAGTCTTATTTAATCATTTGGGTGTGAAGTGAAAGCCTCTAAATCATTTTCATATTGAGTTATTACTGATACATTGAAGTTCATTGAAACGTTCATCCCATTGTCATTCACATCATACACAGTAATCCCTGGCCTTTGTAGTTAGTTTACATGCTAATCAAAGTTTTAGGGGATATGTGACCGGAACTAAGCCGAAGAAAGACTAACCTCCCCCTTTCTCTCTCTCTCCTTCTCTGTCTACCTCACTCTCTCTCCCTTTTCCCTCACTCACTTACCACTCAAATCTATTTTTTTCTCTCTCTCTCTCTCTTTTTCTCAGTGTTGCTCTCTATCTACCTCTTTCTCTCTCTCTCACTCTCTCTCACAAACACATTCTCACAAGCAAATGCACACACACACACACACACCACACACACATACCACGCACACACACCACGCACACACACACCACACACACACACACACACACCTTCATCCCAGAGAGAGGTATCCAAAGTGCTTTCTCTCAGTCTGTGGTGTCTTGTCTTATTTTAGCGCACTCCAAGTATGAGTCGTCCACTCTTACAGTAACCCTCCCCCATTACTCCCCCCTCCCATTCCTCCTCTACCCCCTCCCATTTCTCCTTTCCCATCCCCTCTTATTGACTGCATCTTCTTCCCCCCTTTGATCTTCCCTTTTCTTCTTTTCTCCTCCACTTCCATCCTTTCATTTCCTCTCCTCTCCCAACTTCTCCCTCTCTCCATATATCTCCCTTAATCTCTTCTAGAACTTTCACCTCCTCTCCTTTCTTCTCCCTCATCAATTGCTTATGCATTGGTCCTCCTCTCCCCTGGACTCTTCGCCCCCTTTATCTCTCTCCCTTTTCCTCCCCTCCCCTCCCCTCTTTCCTCTTCTCCTCTCCCCTCCTTTTAACTAGACTCTCTCAAGTAACTTCTATCTTCTCTCCTTTCCCCTCTTTCCTCTTCTTCATTTCTCTCATCCACTTTTCTTTCGGCTCCTCTCCCTTTCCATCCACTCGTTCCATTTCTCTCCCCTCCTTTTGCCTCCTTTTGCCTCCCATCTCTTAGGCACCGCTCTCCCTTCCCTCTACTTTCCTAATCTCATCTCCTCCATCTCTTTCTTTCTCTCCTCTCATCTCTTTGACTCAGTCACTATCTGCTCTCCTCTATTTCTCTCTATCCCTCCCTCCCTCCCTCCCTCCCTCCCTCCCTCCCCTCTCTCCTCTCCTTTCATATCTCTGGCTCTACCACTCTGTGTCCTCATGCATCCCCCCCCCCCCCCCCCCCCCCCCCCCCCCCCCCCCCCCCCCCCTCTCTGAGCTCTGAGCTCTGTGAGTGCAGCAGCGTGAGATGAATATTTAAGTTGCTTGCATGCGTCAGTGTGCGATGCCCCCAGGCATCGCCTCTCGCTCCCCCCCTCTACCCCCAGCTCTCTGATTTTTTTCTGCTTCTAGCCAGCACAGCTGAGTCAGCTTCAGCTCATTGATTCGTGATGAATGCGAGGCTCTGGCTCCCTCTCTTGCTCTCTCCCTCGCTCTCTCTCTCTCTGTGTTGTTATCCCTCCATTTTTCTCTCCCGTTTGCCTCTCCCTCTTTCTGTCTATCTCTCTCCCTCCCGTTTGCCTCTCCCTCTTTCTGTCTACCTCTCCCCCCCTGTTTGCCTCTCCCTCTTTCTGTCTACCTCTCTCCCTCCTGTTTGCCTCTCCCTCTTTCTGTCTATCTCTCTCCCTCCTGTTTGCCTCTCCCTCTTTCTGTCTACCTCTCTCCCTCCTGTTTGCCTCTCCCTCTTTCTGTCTACCTCTCTCCCTCCTGTTTGCCTCTCCCTCTTTCTGTCTACCTCTCTCCCTCCTGTTTGCCTCTCCCTCTTTCTGTCTACCTCTCCCCCTCCTGTTTGCCTCTCCCTCTTTCTGTCTACCTCTCTCCCTCCTGTTTGCCTCTCCCTCTTTCTGTCTACCTCTCTCCCTCCTGTTTGCCTCTCCCTCTTTCTGTCTACCTCTCTCCCTCCTGTTTGCCTCTCCCTCTTTCTGTCTACCTCTCTCCCTCCCTGTTTGTCTCTCCATCTCGCTTTATTTATTTCCCCCGCTTCCATGTCTGTCTCTCGTTCTTTACCCCTGCTTTCCTCCCTCTATCTCTCCCTCTCTCATTCCATCTCCCCTCCCTCTCTTTATCTCCCTCTTCCCCCAGTCCCTGGCCATTAGCAGTGTATGCCTCTCTCCTACCCCTAGACAGCCAGGTTTCCAGGGAAGCAAGTGTCAGGGGCCTCTCCAGTCCAAATGACCTTCACCTTGCCACTATGTCAGCCCCTTAGCCATTAGCCATCAAGCATATTTGTTAGCACACAGCCGTTAGCCCCCAGCCAGTAGCCACAAAGCACATTTGATTGCACATAGCCGTTAGCCCCCAGCCATTAGCCACAAAGCATATTTGTTAGCACGCAGCCTTTAGCATCCAGTGCTTGTGCAATGAAGGACCTACCAGCTGCTACATACTGTAGTGTTCTCTCTGCAATGAAGAGGGATCCTCCCTCACTTTCCCTCCCTGATAACTGAATAAATCATTGTGGGTATTAAATGGCAGAGCTATTTTTCCTGTCGTGGCACGCATCAGGCATTTATCAGAAACCTCGTTTTCCATGACTGCTGCTGAAAAGTGGAAAATAAATGTCTCATTATATATTATTTATGTAGAGATTTTGGCATGCAAATGTATTTTCTATAACATGTCTCTGTCCTTTATGCAGTATCTGAGTAGCAGGTTTAGGGGTGTGTTAAATGTTGATGGGTTTTGTAAACTCTTGGGGCGTTTTCATATTCATATATTGACATATTAATATATCAGATGCTGCTGGAAAAAAATGCTTTCAGAGTTAGCTTTATCTTGAGGCATCCTTCAAATGACAAATTACTTTACATATCAGATGACAAAATGTATGGCTTTAACACATTTTTATTCGATTGAAGCTGGTTTACTATCTTGAGTATATAATGCTGCAGGATTAGGCCACATTTCAGGGAGTTCTATGTGTAAACAGATTAAGCCTATTTCTAGACTAAAACGCATTCACTATTCAAAGTGCTTGTTAGTTCAAGACTAGCCCTAATCTGTGTCTGGGAAACCAGCCCTATACGTATTATGTCTATCATGTTATTACAAACTATATAACACCATTATATAGGTATTATTAAGGCTGTTTCATGCCTCTTGGATAGGATAACACTCAATCCACTTGCATACCTACAGTAGGTGATAAAATGGGATGCAGTGTTTTGAAACTTGAAAACAGCCAGTTGAAAAAAAGTAAGGTCCCCACTCACCAGCAGTTCCCACAAATCAAACTGAAACGTTTTCTGAATGTGTGATGTTGTAAGCCAGAATGTGATTGTTACAGGAATTTGATACACATTTGCATAATTTGTTTTATTTAAATCAGACAGAATTGTGGCCATTGATGGTGAGCAAGGACATTATTTATTATCAACTCATTAAGTATATATAGTTCTGTTTCTATTACATAAAAGCCTATAGAAAAGGTTATTGCCATTACCATGTGTAATTTGGACCTTAACTGTTTTTTTATGTGATATGTGCCTATTTCTGTTACATATCCTTACATTTATTCATTCCTTTTGTTTCAGTGCTTGCCTTTGTTTTGTTTTTTTACAGTTCCTTTGGACATTTGATTTTGAAGTGCATGCTCCAACCCGTTTCTCCATCAGATCCTTACTCCGCCATGGCTGTCACGTGCATGGTGACAGAGTGACGTGAGTGTGGTCACCAAGCTTTCTGTTCTCCTCATAGCAGAGGGGTCACACTAAGGACACCCACTTCTGACCTTTCTGTTATACTCATATCAATGGTTAACCAAGTGGTACTGTTTCTATTGCTAGGACCCCGTTATTGCTGCTTGCAGCTATTTTATATAGCAACAGCTATAAATAGATCTACACTACCGGTCAAAAGTTTTAGAACACGTACTCATTCAAGGGTTCTTCTTTATTTTTACTATTTTCTACATTGTAGAATAATAGTGACGACATCAAAACTGTAATAACAACCTGGAATGCTTTTCCAACAGTCTTGAAGGAGTTCCCACATATGCTGAGCACTTTTTGGCTGCTTTTCCTTCACTGTGCGGTTCAACTCATCCCAAACCATCTCAATTTGGTTGAGGTCGGGGGATTGTGGAGGCCAGGTCATCTGATGCAGCACTCCATCACTCTCCTTCTTGGTAAAATAGCCCTTACACAGCCTGGAGGTGTGTTGGGTCATTGTCCTGTTGAAAAACAAATTATAGTCCCACTAAGCCCAAACCAGATGGGATGGCGTATTACTGCAGAATGCTGTGGTAGCCATGCTGGTTAAGTGTGGCGTGAATTCTAAATCAATCACAGACAGTGTTACCAGCAAAGCAACCCCACACCATAACACCTCCTCCTCCATGCTTTACGGTGGGAAATACACATGCGGAGATCATCCGTTCACCCACACCACGTCTCACAAATACACTGCGGTTGGAACCAAAAATCTCACATTTGGACTGCAGACCAAAGGACACATTTCCACCGGTCTAATGTCCATTGCTTGTGTTTCTTGGCCCAAGGAAGTCTCTTCTTCTTATTGGTGTCCTTTAGTAGTGGTTTCTTTCCAGCAATTCGACCATGAAGGCCTGATTCACAGTCTCCTCTGAACAGTTGATGTTGAGATGTATCTGTTACTTGAACTCTGTGAAGCATTTATTTGGGCTGCAATTTCTAAGGCTGGTAGCTCTAATGAACTTATCCTCTGCAGCAGAGGTAACTCTGGGTCTTCCATTCCTGTAGCGGTCCTCATGAGAACCAGTTTCATCATAGCTTTTGCGACTGCACTTGAAGAAACTTTCTTGAAATGTTCCGTATTGACTGACCTTCATGTCTTAAATTAATGATGGATTGTCATTTCTCTTTGCTTATTTGAGCTGTTCTTGCCATAATATGGACTTGGTCTTTTACCAAATAGGGCTATCTTTTGTATAAACCCTTGAATGAGTAGGTATTCTAAAACTTTTGACCAATAGTGTATCTACATAGCAATATTATTAGAGCCATATTCGGATGTGAGACATTTGTACATTATTGCTCGCTCTCTCTCTAACTTACACTTAGATATTCTGTTTCTTTTAGGTTTTAGCTATGTGTCAGAGTAGGGCCCTGAACCTCAATCAGGGCCCTATTCTGATGCATACGCAGTTGAAAAGCAACAGAAACTTGAAAGCAACAGAATATCTAAGCGTAAATTAGAGCAATGTGGAAGTTTCTCACGTTTCTGACCGTCTCTAACAGCCACATGTCTGCATACAGTTGAAGTCGGAAGTTTACATACACTTAGGTTGGAGTCATTAAAACTCATTTTTCAACCACTCCACAAATGTCTTGTTAACAGACTATAGTTTTGGCAAGTCGGTTAGGACATCTACTTTGTACAATTTTTCCAACAATTATTTACAGACAGATTATTTCACTTATAATTTACTGTATCACAATTCCAGTGGGTCAGAAGTTTACATACACTACATTGACTGTGCCTTTAAACAGCTTGGACAATTCCAGAAAATTATGTCATGGCTTTAGAAGCTTCTGATAGGCTAATTGACATCATTTGTGTCAATTGGAGATGTACCTGTGGATGTATTTCAAGGCCTACCTTCAAACTCAGTGCCTCTTTGCTCGTCATCATGGAAAATCAAAATAAATCAGCCAAGACCTCAGAAAAAAAATTGTCGACCTCCACAAGTCTTGTTCATCCTTGGGAGCAATTTCCAAATGCCTGAAGGTACCACGTTCATCTGTACAAACAATAGTACGCAAGTATAAACACCATGGGACCACGCAGCCGTCATACCGCTCAGGAAGGAGACGTGTTCTGTCTCCTAGAGATGAATGCACTTTGGTGCGAAAAGTGCAAATCAATCCCAGAACAACAGCAAAGGACCTTGTGAAGATGCTGGAGGAAACAGGTACAAAAGTATCTATATCCACAGTAAAACGAGTCCTATATCGACATAACCTGAAAGGCCGCTCAGCAAGGAAGAAGCCATTGCTACAAAACCTCCATAAAAAAGCCAGACTACAGTTTGCAGCTGCACATGGGGACAAAGATCGTACTTTTTGGAGAAATGTCCTCTGGTCTGATGAAACAAAAATAGAACTGTTTGGCCATAATGACCATCATTATGTTTGGAGAAAAAAGGGGGGCCTTGCAAGCTGAAGAACACCATCCCAACCGTGAAGCACGGAGGTGGCAGCATCATGCTGTGGGGGTGCTTTGCTGCAGGAGAGACTGGTGCACTTCACAAAATAGATGGCATCATGAGGAAGGAAAATTATGTGGATATGTTGAAGCAACATCTCAAGACATCAGTCAGGAAGTTAAAGCTTGGTCGCAAATGGATCTTCAAAATGGACAATGACCCCAAGCATACTTCCAAAGTTGTGGCAAAAGGGCTTAAGGACAACAAAGTCAAGGTATTGGAGTTGCCATCACAAAGCCCGATAGAAAATGTGTGGGCAGAACTGAAAAAGCGTGTGCGAGCAAGGAGGCCTACAAACCTGACTCAGTTACACCAGCTCTGTCAGGAAGAATGGGCCAGAATTCACCCAACGAATTGTGGGAAGCTTGTGGAAGGCTACCCAAAATATTTGACCCAAGATAAACAATTTAAAGGCAATGCTACCAAATACTAATTGATTGTATGTAAACTTCTGACCCACTGGGAATGTGATGAAATAAATAAAAGCTGAAATAAATCATTCTCTCTACTATTATTCTGACATTTCACATTCTTAAAATAAAGTGGTGATCCTAACTGATTTAAGACAGGGAATTTTTACTAGGATTAAATGTCAGGAATTGTGAAAAACTGAGTTTAAATGTATTTGGCTAAGGTGTATGTAAATTTCCGACTTCAACTGTACATACAGTATGTCAACTGACATACTGTATAAGCAATGACATGAATCACAAGGTACTTACACACAGTGAGCTGCACACTCTAATTGAGTCTGAAGCAGCTTCTCCTTGTCGCCGAAGAAGCATTTAGTTAATTGCTTGTTTAGGACAGAGTGAATCGGCATTCGGCCTCCTCTCTGTAATAACCAGCTGAGAGCACAGGTGGTGTTATTGTTGACAATAACGGGGAATCCCTCCCAAATAGTGCCACTCGGGATGCAGCCCCAGTGTCTACCTCAGAGGGCTCAGTACTCAGTGTTCAAGAAACGACCGTGGGACTCGACCGTGAGCGTTCAATTTGCTCCCCCCGGAGCTAAGGTCATAGCGCCAGCAAACAACGAGGGTAATGTGAGAATGAACGGCATGTACTGCGCCACTGATGCTACCACCCCAAGCCAAACACACAAGAGATTGAGTTACTAAACTAAGCTAGAGGGGCGCAATTCTATTTTGATGTTTTCAGATTGTCAGTTCAGGAAATGAATCGACATTCAGGAAAAAGTTCTAAGGAAAAAATGAGTTATTGAATTATTACAATACAAGTTCATTGAAATATTAATTCTTTATATTGACTGGATTAAAATGGAATTTAGCTCAATTACAGCATAATACCATTATGGTTTTACCCAAGTCTCTTATTGAGCCGAACACACTCAGACATGCATTCATGAGCTTTTAGTAGGATTAGTGTACGGAAGCCTGGTGTGACCCCTCACTTATGTTTCTGTGTACTTTATTATTTATTATATATATATATATATTTTTTTACAATTTAGATTCACTGTGTTTACAACAAGCATCCATAACTCCTCTACGGCACTAAATGGTGGCAACAAAAGCATTAATATTACCTATATTTGACTTCGGCATCTTATGGCGAATGTCAGATCGAATTTGCAAGATCAAATTTAGCATGTTCGATGATGTGCTTTTGGGTCTTAAAATGACTTTTATTGCATGTATCCTCTATGTAGCTGTTGTGTCATGTTTGTTTGGCGCTAATGGCTGTGGAATGAATGCTAGTGTAGTGTAAATGTAAATCGTTACCAGTGAAATATTTTGTTCCATTTGTTTTACTTATTATTTACTTCCCATTTAAGTAAAATACAAAAAAGTGTTTTAGTGTTTCTTAGATCGGAGAGTGAACAGTAGCGATAAACCATTGAAGGAAGATGTGTTAGAATTGTTATTTTTCCAAGATGTTGAAGTATGTGCATCTTGATATTAGTCCGTCACTAATACTGTTCCCTTTTGTTTCCTTTCAGCCGAGAACTGTCGCAGGGTTTCGAGGAACTGTCCGATATGCCTCAGTCAACGCACATAAAAACAAAGTAAACAACAATGTTCATGTTGTCAAAATGATATGCTGGAAAATGTATTCTGCCAAATCTGCTCTTTGAAATAAACGTATAACTTGTTTATTGTGTTGTTGTACTGTCAAATGGTGGCGGGCAATCATAGAATAAGGAATTACAATACATACCCCATCTAGTAATTTAATAGGACCTCTATGGGGGCAACCGTAGGTTTGGCACTATTAAGGGTATACTGTACTAATTGAAACGAAATAGCATGGAGGACGATATCATTCATAATCTAAATTTTTATTTTTTCTCTCCCCAGGAAATGGGCCGCCATGATGACCTTTGGTCTTTATTTTACATGTTGGTGGAATTTGCAGTTGGACAGCTACCATGGCGGAAAATCAAGGACAAGGTAGAGTCACTTCGCTCGTCCACGACAGACCAACTGTATTTCTAGCAAATCGTTAAAGTCAAATAATCAAATAATACGCAAGCTGAACAAAAAACTAGCCTTTTCTTTCAACTCTTGACAATGTTAGTAACAATTAAACATTTAATTTAGTAGGTATTTCATTTTTAATATGAGTAGCGCCTCGGAATCAGATAGAAATAAATGCATGTGGCATATCATTTGGTACGCCTCTCGATTCTTTGTATGAAATTGTGCAAAAATATCACAGTGTGTGTTGGCTCCGTCGAAGTGGCATATAGGATGGTCTAATTTGCCCCTACACCCTTGATCATTTTCACTCCATCAGCTTTCGGACACTTGTGCATATGGGCAATGGGCAAATGGAAGAGGAAGGGACTGGTTTGGTTTCAGCCACTGAATTACAATGAAATAAAGTAAAACAAATATACAATGTTTTATTCTGTTTTGCGCAGGAGCAAGTTGGGCAGATAAAAGAGCGATATGACCATAGGATGCTGCTGAAACACATGCCTTCAGAGTTCCATATCTTCCTCGACCATGTATTGGGCCTTGACTACTACACCAAGCCGGATTATCAGGTACTTTCACAGTATAGAGAATAAGGAAAGTACTTTGAAAGTGTTTTGAAATAATCCCACAAACGTCTATTTTTTGACTGGCCACCATCTCACTATTGCGGGGATTTTTTTGTATGCTCATAGAAACTGATATGTTGACTTCATCAATGCTTCCTAGTTCTCCCTATGCTATTTCCAATAACATTTTAGTCATTTAGCAGACGCTCTTATCCAGAGCGACTTACAGTTACTGAGTGCATACATTTGTTTTCATACTGGCCCCCCGTGGGAATCGAACCCACAACCCTGGCGTTGCAAACGCCATGCTCTACCAACTGAGCTACACGGGAATAACAAAATTGCATCTAAAATGACACCTTATTTCTTATATACTGCACTTCTTTGACCAGAGAGGAAATAGGGTGCCAGTTGGACGCAACCAGAGTCTAATTTGGAGTTGTTTTCTATCTGCTGGTCTGGTCAAGGGAATAGGGTGTATTTAAGGATTAGGGTGCCATTTGGGATGAAACCTAAGTCTGATTTCCTTTATTTCCCAGCTGCTGATGTCGGTGTTTGAGAACAGCATGAAGGAGCGCATCATTACAGAAAATGAGCCGTTTGATTGGGAGAAAGGAGGGACAGACTCCACACAGTCAACCAGCGCCTCCACCAAACCACAGCACAACACACGGCCCACCGTCGCCATGGTGGGGTAAGGAGCCTGATATATTTACCATTAGCATTAAAAGGAGAGTCCACAATATTACATGATCATACACTGCAGGGCGACTTTATGCTTGCAATTTATTTAACACTAGAACCGCTGGGCCTCGAGGGAACCCCCTTCAAGCTAATGAGCAGTCATTCTGACTGCAACACTCTAACAGTGAAATTAATACATTTCATATACAGTGGGGGAAAAAAGTATTTTGTCAGCCACCAATTGTGCAAGTTCTCCCACTTAAAAAGAAAATCACATTGTAGGATTTTTTATGAATTTATATGCAAATTATGGTGGAAAAAAAGTATTTGGTCAATAACAAAAGTTTCTCAATACTTTGTTATATACCCTTTGTTGGCAATGACACAGGTCAAACGTTTTCTGTAAGTCTTCACAAGGTTTTCACACACTGTTGCTGGTATTTTGGCCCATTCCTCCATGCAGATCTCCTCTAGAGCAGTGATGTTTTGGGGCTGTCGCTGGGCAACACAGACTTTCAACTCCCTCCAAAGATTTTCTATGGGGTTGAGATCTGGAGACTGGCTAGGCCACTCCAGGACCTTGAAATGCTTCTTACGAAGCTACTCTTTCGTTGCCCGGGCGGTGTGTTTGGAATCATTGTCATGCTGAAAGACCCAGCCACGTTTCATCTTCAATGCCCTTGCTGATGGAAGTTTTCACTCAAACTCTCACGATACATGGCCCCATTCATTCTTTCCTTTACACGGATAAGTCGTCCTGGTCCCTTTGCAGAAAAACAGCCCCAAAGCATGATGTTTCCACCCCCATGCTTCACAGTAGGTATGGTGTTCTTTGGATGCAACTCAGCATTCTTTGTCCTCCAAACACGACGAGTTGAGTTTTGACCAAAAAGTTCTATTTTGGTTTCATCTGACCATATGACATTCTCCCAATCCTCTTCTGGATCATCCAAATGCACTCTAGCAAACTTCAGACGGGCCTGGACATGTACTGGCTTAAGCAGGGGGACACGTCTGGCACTGCAGGATTTGAGTCCCTGGCGGCGTAGTGTGTTACTGATGGTAGGCTTTGTTACTTTGGTCCCAGCTCTCTGCAGGTCATTCACTAGGTCCCCCGTGTGGTTCTGGGATTTTTGCTCACCGTTCTTGTGATCATTTTGACCCCACGGGGTGAGATCTTGCGTGGAGCCCCAGATCGAGGGAGATTATCAGTGGTCTTGTATGTCTTCCATTTCCTAATAATTGCTCCCACAGTTGATTTCTTCAAACCAAGCTGCTTACCTATTGCAGATTCAGTCTTCCCAGCCTGGTGCAGGTCTACAATTTTGTTTCTGGTGTCCTTTGACAGCTCTTTGGTCTTGGCCATAGTGGAGTTTGGAGTCTGACTGTTTGAGGTTGTGGACAGGTGTATTTTATACTGATAACAAGTTCAAACAGGTGCCATTAATACAGGTTATGAGTGGAGGACAGAGGAGCCTCTTAAAGAAGAAGTTACAGGTCTGTGAGAGCCAGAAATCTTGCTTGTTTGTAGGTGACCAAATACTTATTTTCCACCATAATTTGCAAATAAATTCATAAAAAATCCTACAATGTGATTTTCTGGATTTTTTTTTCTCATTTTGTCTGTCATAGTTGACGTGTACCTATGATGAAAATTACAGGCCTCTCTCATCTTTTTAAGTGGGAGAACTTGCACAATTGGTGGCTGACTAAATACTTTTTTTCCCCACTGTATGATATCGCAAAAATTATAATTTGGTTGTGTTTATCAAAATAAATAAATAAATCTAATAACACAATAGCTTTTTCATAAGTTTTGGTCAGCAAGACACGGTCAAATGATGAAAACATCAGTAGCCTAAACATCATTATTGTCACGATCGTTGAGAGACGGGTCAGACCAAGGTGCAGCGTGGTATGCGAACATGTTTATTAAACTCAATAAACATAAAAACAAACCAACGTAACGTGAAGTCCAAGGCTATACACAATACAAGCCTAACACAGGAACAAGATCCCACAAACATAGTAGGCAACTGGGCTACCTAAGTATGATCCCCAATCAGAGACAACGAGCGACAGTTGTCTCTGATTGGGAATCACACCCGGCCAAACATAGAAATACAATACCTAGAATGTAAACATAGAAATAATAACATAGAACTTCCACACCCTGACTCAACTAACAAGAGTTCTATACGTCAGGGCGTGACAGTACCCCCCCCCCCCAAAAGGTGCAGACTCCGACCGCACAAACCTGACATAACAGGGTAGGGTCCGGGTGGGCATTCTGCCTCGGAGGCGGATCCGGCTCCGGGCATGACGACCTCTTCCTCTCAGCCTCCCCATTGTGCCCCTGGTCTGGTCTGGACCTCGGCGCGATGCTTCCCCTCTCCTTCCTCCCACGATGCACCAAGCCCTGTCTGGACCCTGGTGCGGGAGACCCCGAACCTGGAGAGGGGCTGACGTCTGGGTCTGGACTGGAGCCGCTGACCGGAGCTGAACTTGACCCCGGTGGAGCGGACTGTTCTGGCTCCGGAGTGGAACCGCTGACCGGAGCTGGACTAGAAACCGGTGGAGCGGACTACTCTGGTTCCGGAATGGATCCGCTGACCGGGGCTGGATTGGGCACCGGTGGAGCGGACTGCTCTGGCTCCGGAGTGGAGCAGCTGACCGGTGCTGCACCGGTGGAACGGGCACGGGCCGTGCCGGACTGGGAACACGCACCACTGGCTTGGTGCGAGGAGCAGGCACGGGCCGGGCCGGACTGGGAACACGCACCACTGGTCTGGTGCAAGGAGCAGGCACGGGCCGGGCCGGACTGGGAACACGCACCACTGGCTTGGTGCGGGGAGCAGGTACGGGGCGTACCGGGCTGGCGACATGCACCACTGGTTTGGTGCGAGGAGCAGGGACGGGCCGTACTGGACTGGGAACGCGCACCACTGGTTTGGTGCGAGGAGCAGGGACGGGCCGTACTGGACTGGGAACGCGCACCACTGGTTTGGTGCGGGGAGCAGGTACGGGGCGTACCGGGCTGGCGACACGCACCACTGGTTTGGTGCGAGGAGCAGGGACGGGCCGTACTGGACTGGGAACACGCACCACTGGCTTGGTGCGGGGAGCAGGTACGGGGCGTACCGGGCTGGCGACAAGCACCACTGGTTTGGTGCGAGGAGCAGGAACGGGCCGTACTGGACTGGGAACACGCACCACTGGCTTGGTGCGTGGAGCAGGAACGGGCCTGGGCCGGACTGGGAACACGCACCACTGGCTTGGTGCGGGGAGCAGGTACGGGGCGTACCGGACTGGATACACACACAACTGGTTTGGTGCAGGGAGCAGGCACGGGCCGTACCGGACTGGGAACACGCACCACTGGCTTGGTGCGAGGAGCAGGCACGAGGCGTACTGGACTGGGAACCGGCGCTGGAGGTCTACGACTGTACCAGTCCTTTACTCTCCGCGCCCAGTCCTCCTCCAGTGAGGACTCCTCCCTGAGCCCCCACGAGTGCAGTGGTCGGGGCTCTTCTCTATCGATTCCCGCCACCCTTTTAGCCCCCCCCCCCAAAAAAAAAATGTGGGGGGCTGTCTCGCGGGCTTCCTCCTCGGCCGATGCCTTCTGTGTTCCTCTCCTGCCTGGGCCTCCTCCTTCGCCCAGGGTCCTTTTCCTGCCAAAATCTCCTCCCATGTCCAAAAACTCTTCCCCACCTGTGTCCAGGGTGTCTGCTGCTCCTGGGCACGCTGCTTGGTCCGTTTTTGGTGGGATCTTCTGTCACGATCGTTGAGAGACGGGTCAGACCAAGGTGCAGCGTGGTATGCGAACATGTTTATTAAACTCAATAAACATAAAAACAAACCAACGTAACGTGAAGTCCAAGGCTATACACAATACAAGCCTAACACAGGAACAAGATCCCACAAACATAGTAGGCAACTGGGCTACCTAAGTATGATCCCCAATCAGAGACAACGAGCGACAGCTGTCTCTGATTGGGAATCACACCCGGCCAAACATAGAAATACAATACCTAGAATGTAAATATATAAATAATAACATAGAACTTCCACACCCTGACTCAACTAACGAGAGTTCTATACGTCAGGGCGTGACAATTATAAACACCAAGTGTACTTGATAAATAGTGAAAATCTGCACAAAAGTAATAATGGCATTGTAATGAACATAAGTGTCGATATGACAGCAGTAAGAAATTGTCAATTACCAATATGTCAGATACCATGGCGAATTTGTTTCCAGGCATCGCATTCTAGTTTCTTTATCATCAAAACGGATGTAACGCATGATTTCTCTGAAGCAATTCCATGGGGCGTAAACATGGGTGGGCCTGGGTGGACACAGGCCCACCCACTGGGGTGCCAGGCCCTGCCAAGCCCACCTAATCAGATTGAGCAAAAACAAAAAGGAGTATTATAAAAAAAAATACTCCTCAGCACCCACCCCTGCCCATCCAAATTTCAGCAGGCCCACCCACCAGCGAATTTCTGGCTACCCCACCATCTGAGTCATTTTCATTCAGATCTAGTAGCAGTGCTTACGCAGCATGTGCATCCATTCGTCTTAGTCTTCTTGCCATTGTAAATTACGCACGCTCTCACTGTGTACTCCAAGTAGGCCAGAGTAGACTGATGAGACTGCTTGGATTTGGTGGACTGATATAGGGTACATACCATTTTCAGATTATAATTAGAATATACCATTACAATAGAATGGCCCGCCCTGTTCTTCATTCACAATTGGTAATTACATAATTATGCATAGTTCACTTCCCTTCACTCATCAACTCACCCATTCTCCCCCTTTCTCCCTATCATAATTTACCTAATTTATTTAATCTGATGGTATAAGTGTGAAATTAGTTTTGGTATAGTTTAGGTTCAATTTCGAGACAGTTATCGGGGTGATTATCAACTGGGCACGCCACCTTCCACTGTCGGGAGAAGGAGGGGCAACAGGGAAAACCATTCAAAAAATATGATGCCCTCGTAAAACGGGTTATAACTCCAGTTCTGTTTGTGATATTAACATTCTAACAACGGCAGTGTGTTATATAGACTTATTTAGGACAAGTGAAGGACGGAGGGGGGCATGGCTTTAAAAATGGCAGCGTAATAAAAAAAGTATATTAATCAGCAGTCAAAATTACTGCTTTAGCAGTTCTAGTGTTAACAGGGACAGTGCCCATTAATCAACATTTCAGTGTTCACATCAATGTAAATGTGCCAGCTGAATTGCCCTCCCTTGAGGCGTGCCCATGTGAATCTGCCAATAGAGGCAGTCTTGGCAGATTCACATTTTGTAGTTGTTGATTTTTGTAAGCAGAACATTTCCCCATTGTGTATGAAGATGTCATATTTCTGCGTCTTCCTTTAATCCTAGAGTCTTTTTCACCAGTTGGCTGTCTTTGACCCTTGACATTTACAGTATCAATACACAAGGGATTGGTACAATATATTAGATCCTGAATGTTCCACAACGTTATAAAATAGGGTGCAGTCACAGTGCTCTATTTTTAATCTCAGTCTTTTATACATCTTTCGTGGGAGCTATTGTTTGACTCACTCACCCAAATGTATCCTTTTGAAGTTATCTCTCGCTCGCTCTCTCTCTCTCTCTCTCTGATGACTGTCTTGTTTGAAGCTCTTTACTGTTCAGCCCGCCTAGACACACACACACTTTCAGACACACACACACACACTACACACAGCTGCATGACTTCCCTGCGAACACAACATCCTTATCTCTGGAGACATCATTAGTGCCCATAGGCCTCTGGTCAAAAGTAGTGCACTATGTAAGGAATAGGGCAAATGAACAGAGAGCGATAACAGATTTTGTGTCCATCAGTATTGCTGTCACACCTCGAGACTACTGCTACACTGCTACACTGCTCATCCAAACCCTTTGAAATGGATGATATTGAATTCTAAACTAGGCTGTAAAAGGCATTTGATATACCAGTTTACAATTAATGTCTCACTGAATAAATAAATATGTAAATAGATGTTTACTGAACATTGAGGGTTGCCTGTAAAAAGTGCATTAAGTAAGTGCATGCATAATTCAGGAAATGCAAAGAAAAAAAAAATAGGAGTAGGGCTGGAACAAAAACCTGCACGCCCAGTGGACATATATTCACATATAGGTGTTATATACATGTGTTATATACATTTATATACATTATTACATACATTATGTACATCATTGGGCCACCGCTGCTCTTAATCAACTGATTTAACCTGAACCCATCCCCCCACTCCCACCCATTTTCTCCCCCAGAGCCCTCAACACCCCGGTGCCCGGAGACCTCCAGAGGGAGAACACGGAGAACGTGCTACAGGACGAGCACCTCAGCGACCAGGAGAACGCCCCTCCGGCCCTGCCCCCTGGTGGGAGCCGCCAGGGGGGCGAGGGCGGAGGAGGTGGCGGTGGCCAGACACCCGCCAGGGGCGAGGGATGGGAGGACACCGACTTCAACCGCAACAAACTCAGGATCAGCCTGGGCAAGGTGGGTAGGGGGGAGGGGGAGGAATGAGGGGAAGGAGAACACAACATTTTACTGTATGGCCTGGTCTCACCACAATGGCCCGTAGATGGATGAATGGCCTTGATGTAGATGTTGTTCTAGCGTAGCTTATACTGTTTGTTGATACAGTATGTTTAGTATGAAAAATATAGGCTGGTTGGCTGGGTAGAGGATGATAGACGGACAGACAGATACACAGACAGAGATAGACATCCAGACAGACGATGTGTACACTAGACAGAAGGCCTACCCTTTGAACTGGTGGTAATAGACACACTTTAGAATGAATTACTGTCTCTCCTTTCCCGTCTCTTCCCCTCCTCTCCCCTCTGTGTCTGCAGGGGGCCCAGGAGGGGGATGAACCCAGCAGAGGGGCCTGTCCCATGTCTCCGTGCCGGGCAGGAGGGGCCCCCGAGTCCCCCAGTGGCCAGGTGCGCTCCCTCCGGTACCGCCGCATCAACAGCCCCGAGTCAGACCGTATGTCGGCCGCTGATGCGAGGGGCATCGACGGCTACTGCCAAAGGTGACCACTACAAACCAGCTATAGTATTAATTACAGACCTGTACTAGCTTTTAGTATAGTAGTATTTAAGTATAGTAGTTAACCAGAAAGTACATTTGTACTAAAATACATTTAGTATTGTACTTAGCTACATTCAAGTCTCTTGGGCGTTCCAGGAAAGTCCCTTTGGTTAGGGTCTGTGAAACTGCTATAAGCCTATATATTGTAGCCCTCCACTTTATAACATGCTTCAATGCTCAATGTGTGTGTTCTTTTGTTTGTGTGTGTGTGCGTTCATTTGTTCGTGCATGCTTGTGTGTCTATGTGCACTTGTACGTTCTCGTGCTTGTACCTGTGTGTGTGTGTGTATGTGTACATATCTGTGTGCCACAGTATCAGGTCCCGCATGGACATCCTGGGCTCGCCCTCGCGCCACCTGTACTCGTCCCAACCGGCCATGATGCTGTCTGTGGACGCCGGCCTGCAGCGCGGGCGGCACGGCGAGGGCTCGGTGGCGTCCGTGGACCAGGAAGCCCACAGTAACGCCTTTATCAGATCGGTGCCGCTGGCAGAGGAGGAAGACTTTGATAGCAAGGAGTGGGTGATCATCGACAAGGAGACGGAGCTGAGGGACTTCCAGCCCACCACGTCGGGCACCACCGATGAGGAGCCTGAGGAGCTGAGGCCCCTGGAGGAGGGAGAGGAGAGGAGGAGGCTTCGGGGAGGAGGTGTGCCTGGAGGTTTTATGTACATTCAATGATGTGCAATTTCAGTCAGTTCAATTCTGTTCTATTCTATTCAGTTCGACTTTGTTAAGTTCTATTCAGTTCTGTTGTATTCAGTTCTGTTCTATTCTGTACAAGTTGTGTTGACGATGCTGCTCATCTCTCCTCTGACATTAAAATATTGTTTGACGTTTGACTTAAACCGGCAAAAGCTTTTCACACTATTGAGCAGAACCAAACCATTTGTACTGAGCTGACCTGGTTATGAAAATGTAATATTCAAGCCATCACAGTTTGGTTCGGGTTGGCATGATAGTGTGAAAAGGGTACTAGATTCCTAACCAATCCTTTGTTCTAGGGGCGGAGATGGTGGTGCGGCCCAAGACGACCCACACGACCAACAGCAGCCGGGGCATGCTCACGCTCACCGAGGAGGAAGCCTCCAGACGAAGTGGGGGAAGCCCCGCCATGTCGCCCTGTCACTCACTCCCGTCGGGCCGTCCCATTGGACCCCAAAGACCGGTAAGAGACCGGGCCGACCTATCGGTGGAAGGAGGCTTCTCTCCTTGCATGTTCATGGGAGTCGGCTCAGAGCTGGGTCGCCTGCTGCACAGTGCAACTGATCTTTAGATGATATGGATGAGACCCACCTAAGCGGTGGGTGTTGTTGTTGATCTATCCAGATTATGTAAAGATGAGCAGTTCGGTGCCCCCTCTGGTCGGGATGTCCATTAACATGCAGTGCTAAACCTGGGGGTAGGGTTAAGCCTAGGGTTGCAAAATTCTGATAACTCTCCCAAAATTACCAGTTGGAAGATTCCCAGATTTCCTGCTTATTTCTTTCTAATTCCAGGAATCTTTCTGGGAAACCTTGGAATTTTGCAACCCTAGAATTTTGCAAGCCAGTGGGAAGTGAATACCTTGGCGGGGAGCAACCATTATTAACGCAGCCATTTTAGTGTCATTCACACTGTCATTGGTGTGACATAGCCTAATGCCAGTGTAAAGAGAGAAAAAGTGCCTTTTTCTGTGTCAGTAGGCCCAAATTGTTCCTTTCCATGACTTTTGGTTTTAACCATTGTATTTGTAATGCTAAGGTATGAATGGGAGACGTGGCTTGATGTAGCATTACATATTATAATTATTGAACAGTTTATGCTTTTGGGGTGAGATGGTGGCATGAGTAGGGTCAATTTGACAGTTTCTCCCCCCCCCCAATGTATTTCTACAATATTTTCTCAATAGATTTCTCAATTAGTCCACAAGAGCATTTTCTCATAGTGCAGTTCTGGCAAATGCCCGATGGGCTGGTCCATACACCTGGCAGATTCCTGTTCCCAGTACGTCCCTGTATTCGGGTTTACATTTGTCAGGGTTGCACTGCATTTGATGCCCTCGTTATTACACACTGACTGATGAAACAAAATATACGCATACATGATGACACATATCCCACCGCTGCCACCAAATGTGATTAAGCTGGCCGTTACCTCATACACAAAATAAAATATGGGGACTGATCAAGTTTTTTTAGGTGAAATATAGAGGAAATTCAGCAATTCTTGGAGAGAAATTGAAGTTGATAAAATGTTTATTTATTGTTAAAACCAGTGCGTTTCAGCCCGTAGCTTCCATAAGGGTTTCAGTTCTTTAGGGGTCTTTTAGGTGAGAATGTTCTGTCATTCTCAGTATGAAAACGTGCAATCATACACATATTTTGCCCAACAGTGATATATTTATTTATTTTTTGTCACATGTTACACTTTAAACTCAGAAATACAGTTTTCTAGACAAATATAGTGTCAAGAAACAGGCATTTAAGTATGAACCAAATACACATCCATGAGCATTCCAAAGAGATTCATAAATGCTTTGAGCTTTTGAAAACAATCACTTGTTGGCATATAGCACAGGTGTCAAACATACGGCCCACAGGCCAGATCCGGCCTGCAAGGAGGTCCAATCCGGCCCGCGGGTGGTAATGGAACTACATTTATAAATGTTCTTGACTGTGTCCAGCTCACTAATAATCATCTAATTGAAAGCTAGACAGTCAGGGAGCATCGAAAAGTACCAAAATGATGGATAGAGGACTATGTTTTGAGTTTGACACCCCTGGTTGAATGAAGATCATGATGAGTTGATTATTGGAAACAGGTATGTTAGTGCTAAGTTGGGGAAAACGCCTACACATCCAGTAGCTCCCTAGAGTTGGAGAACCCTGATTACATAACAAACTGTGCATGCTGAAAATAAAAGATAACGTGTGAATGTTTATGCAATGATTATGAACGTGTCATCAATTGCTTACTAAGTGCTACTGTATATGTCTAGTGGGAGGCCCACACACATACTGTAAGGACAGTAACAGTTTTTTTTATTCCCCTGCGCCCAACACTAGAGGGTGCCACAACTCATCCCTGTGCTCAAAACATCCTAACACAGAGCAGAGTATGTACACTATATATACAAATGCATGTGGACACCCCTTCAAATTAGTGGATTTGGCTATTTCAGCCACACCCATTGGTGACAGGTGGATAAAATCGAGCACATAGCCATGCAATCACCATAGACAAACATTGGCAGTAGAATGGCCTTACTGAAGAGCTCAGTGACTTTCAATGTGGCACCGTCATAAGATGCCACCTTTCCAACAAGTCAGTTCGTCAAATTTCTGCCCTGCTAGAGCTGCCCCGGTCAAGTGTAAGTGCTGTTATTGTGAAGTGGAAACGTTTAGGAGCAACAACAGCTCAGCCACGAAGTGGTAGGCCACACAAGCTCACAGAACGGGACCGCCGAGTGCTGAAGTGCGTAGCACGTAAAAATCAACTGTCCTCGGTTGCAACAATCACTACTGAGTTCCAAATTGCCCCTGGAAGCAACGTCACCACAAGAACTGTTCGTTCAGAGCAGCCGCACACAAGCCTAAGATCACCATGCGCAATGCCAAGTATGGGCTGGAGTGGTGTAAAGCTCGCCGCCATTGGACTCTGGAAACACGTTCTCTGGAGTGACGGATCACGCTTCACCATCTGGCAGGCCCCTTAGTTCCAGTGAAGGGAAATCTTAACGCTACAGCATACAATTACTTTCTAGACATTTCTGTGCTTTCAACTCTGTGGCAACAGTTTGTGGAAGGGCTTTTCCTGTTTCAGCATGACAATGCCCCCGTGCACAAAGCGAGGTCCATACAGAAATGGTTTGTCGAGATCGGTGTGGAAGAACTTGACTGGCCTGCACAGAGCCCTGACCTCAACCCCATCGAACACCTTTGGGATGAATTGGAATGCCAAACTGCCAGCCAGGCCTAATCGCCCAACATCAGTGCCTGACCTCACTAATGCTCTTGTGGCTGAATGGAGGCAAGTCCCTGCAGCAATGTTCCAACATCTAGTGGAAAGCCTTCCCAGAAGAGTGGAGGCTGTTATAGCAGCAAAGGGGGGACCAACTTCATATTAATGCCCATGATTTTGGAATGAGATGTCCACATACTTTTGGTAATGTAGTGTATTTCTCTATGAGTTTAGGGTGAGAAATAACTCCCAGATCATTTGAAAGGTTTGAACAGAAAATGTGATCCAGCTCATATGAATGAAACAATGGTGCTCAATGATAAAGCACAACAGAAAAAAAGGACCTGACTAACAAGAATGTCAGTCATTAGTCACTGAGATGTGGTTTCAAATCCAGTTAGTTCAGATTATGCAATTGATTAATTGAAAGGTCCTTTATTGAAACAATAGTGTAGTTGGGTCGTTCCACAAAATATATTGTGCACCAATATTGGATTTTAAAAGCCTTTTATAGAGCAAAAACCAAGCCATTAGGTTGAAGGAATTGTCCTTAGAGCTCCAAGACAGGATTGTGTCGAGGCACAGATCTGGGGAAGGGTACCAAAAAATGTCTGCAGCATTGAAGGTCCCCAAGAACACAGTGGCCTCCATCATTCTTAAATGGAAGAAGTTTGGAACCACCAAGACTCTTCCTAGAGCTGGCCGCCTGGCCTTGGTCAGGGAGGTGACCAAGAACCCGATAGTCACTCTCACAGAGCTCTAGAGTTCCTCTGTGGAGATGGGAGAACCTTCCAGAAGGACAACCATCTCTGCAGCACCACCATTCAAGCCTTTATGGTAGAGTGGCTAGACGGAAGCCACTCCTCAGTAAAAGGCACATGACAGCCCACTTGGAGCTTGCCAAAAGGCACCTAAAGACTCTCTGGTCTGATGTAACCAAGATTGAACACTTTGACCTGAATGCCAAGCGTCACGTCTGGAGGAAAACTGGCACCATCCCTACAGTGAAGCATGGTGGTGGCAGCATCATGCTGTGGGGATGTTTTTCAGCGGCAGGGACTGGGAAACTAGTCAGGATCAAGGGAAAGATGAACGGAGCAAAGTACAGAGAGATCCTTGATGAAAACCTGCTCCAGAGCACTCAGGACGTCAGACTGGGGAGAAGGTTCACCTTCAAACATGATAATGACCCTTAGCACACAGCCAAGACAACGCAGGAGTGGCTTCGGGACAAGTCTCTGAATGTCCTTGAGTGGTCCAGCCAGAGCCCGGACTTGAACCCGATCTAACATCTCTGGAGAGACCTGAAAATATCTGTGCAGCGACGCTCCCCATCCAACCCGACAGAGCTTCAGAGGATCTGCAGAGAAGAATGGGAGAAACTCCCCAAATACAGTTGTGCCACGCACCTGTATTTTTTTTGTTACTTTTTACCCCCCTTTCTCCCTAATTTCGTGATATCCAGTTGGTAGTTACTGTCTTGTCCCATCGCTGCAACTCCCGTACGGAACCTCCGAAACGCGACCCCACCAAGCCGCACTGCTTCTTGACATAATGCTCACTTAACCCGGAAGCCAGCCGCATCAACACCGTACAGCTCAAAATTAAATCAAATCAAATCAAATTTTATTGGTCACATGCGCCGAATACAACAGGTGCAGACATTACAGTGAAATGCTTACTTACAGCCCTTAACTAACAGTGCATTTATTTTAAACAAAAAAAGTAAGAATAAAACAACAACAAAAAAAGTGTTGAGAAAAAAAGAGCAGAAGTAAAATAAAGTGACAGTAGGGAGGCTATATATACAGGGGGGTACCGTTGCAGAGTCAATGTGCGGGGGCACCGGCTAGTTGAGGTAGTTGAGGTAATATGTACATGTGGGTAGAGTTAAAGTGACTATGCATAAATACTTAACAGAGTAGCAGCAGCGTAAAAAGGATGGGGTGGGGGGGCAGTGCAAATAGTCCGGGTAGCCATGATTAGCTGTTCAGGAGTCTTATGGCTTGGGGGTAGAAGCTGTTGAGAAGTCTTTTGGACCTAGACTTGGCACTCCGGTACCGCTTGCCGTGCGGTAGCAGAGAGAACAGTCTATGACTAGGGTGGCCGGCGACCGAAGTCAGCGTGAATGCTCCCGGCTGCCACAAGGCGTCGCTAGGGCGCGATGGGACAAGGACATCCCAGCTGGCCAAATGCTCTCATAACCTGGACGACGCTGGGCCAATTATGCGCCGCCTCTTGGGTCTCCCGGTCGAGGCCGGCTGCGACACAGCCCGGGATCGAACACGGATCTGTAGTGACGCCTTTAGCACTGCTCAGTTTTTTTTTTTTAATAAATTAGCAAAAATGTCTAAAAAACTGTTTTTGCTTTGTCATTATGGGGTATTGTGTGTAGATCGATGACGTGGAAAAAAACGATTTAATACATTTTAGAGTAAGGCTCTTTTTTATTAAGTTGAACATTACAAATTTGGTTTTCTGGTTAAAGCGCATCTTTGTCATGGTGACATCAACAACCCTGGGAAAAATGCAGCCTATTTAGGTTTTGTTGAACCAACATCAGATTACAACCAGATGTAAAAATGTAATAAAAACCTGACCATAATGTCTCAAAAGACTTAAGTCTGATGTCTTTTCAACCAATTATACCCACTGCAATCTCTTCAATTGGAATAAAAAGACATCAACTAGCTCAGATCATATCAAACCTGATTTAAAGCTAATTTCCTGCAATTCTACACATTTTGCCATGGGGCAGACAGAAACATTTGCAGTTTTATAACAAATGTAATTCTATTCTATACATTTTCCCATGAGGCTGAGAGAACATTTTCCAGTTTTAAAGCTAATTTTCGGCAATTCTACACATTTTGCCATGGTTTAGGACGTGTTTATATGCTATCTGGGGTGGGCCCCCAACTGACGTGTTCATAAAATGTTATCTGGGGGGCCCCAACCGACGTGTTCATATGTTTTTTTGTGGGGGACCCCCTGGAGGTTGGGGCCCCAGGGCATGTGCCCTGCATGCCCGTTCGGTAATCCGTCCCTGGGAAAGGCACCATAATTTGTTTGTTATCTGGTCAGATGATTTCAACTATTTAAAGACGTTAAAAATATGTCTAAAAACATTTATAATCAGAACACAACTTCACGTCAACTAGTTTTTCCCACTGGCTTAGATTACAATTTAATATTGTTGACCTTGTTGCCCTGCCTAAAAACCTTTGAACAAGAAATCTTACAGATTGTTTCATTAATACACATTACCCACCATCCATGTACCACTAGGGTCCTTTAGCACTGCATCAATTAGAAACCAGTCCTGAAGCACTCTTGTATTATGCAGGTCTGCGTACCATCTGATCAAGTTTACATTCTATGTCTATTTAACCTTCAAACAGGTTTTGTATGTGTCTTTTTCTGACTGTTACAGTATTTCCATGAAATATTTTAAAGAATATGTTTTGCACAGGAGTTTGGTACAAATAAAAACCTGCATACACAAGGGGACTTCAAAACCACAAGGCCAGTTCACCCATTCCCTGTGCCAATTGTATTTCCTTGTCATGGATTACTGTAAAAGAATTTCTTACCTCACCAATCACGTTTTCCAGCCTTATTTGTGATTTCACCGCAAGTGCCTAGTACGGCAGGCCTCGCTATCGCAAACATGATCAAGGACCCTCGTTTTATTTGCCTTGCGACCTCTTCCTTGACATAACTGATGCATTTGCTCAACCTATCACTTAAAAGTACAGTATGTCAAGTTGCACTCACCTGAGGAGAAAAGCGAGGGGTGCCATGGGAACAACAAGCGAAGAAATAAAGTGGTGTTTTGGGGTAAGCACAGTTTAGGATAGTCCTTACTTCTGTTGTTTTTTTCCTAATTCGTTTCTGTTCCGAACTCCTTTTTTTGTTGAGCCATATCTATCCCGTTTTTCTTCGTCGTGTGTTTGTGTTTTCGTGTGCTTGATGACACCATCTATATTTTGTGTTATTCATTTAGCATTTTCCAATGGTGTAATGAACTTTGATCGTGTCCAGGCATTTTCCCAGGTTCAATGTGTTTACATACTAGAAGAACATGTGCAGTACTTGTGTGTTTTTTAACGGTATTGTTGGGGAATGTGTGCACTGTGCCTCGATTATGAGATAGACGGAAACCTACTGTCATTTGCTTCCAATCTGGCAACCCACTTAAGTGTTTTGTAGAATACTGTCTTCTATCATTTTAACATACTGTAACACCTCTGCTGTAATGGCAACCCTAGCTACAACCATAGAGAGTCTTCCTCTCCCTGTTTCTCTCTGGACTACATCAGAGAACCCTTATAGCATGCACACAGGGAAGGAGAGATGTATGACAATATATGTTCCAATACTCTATATGGATCCCTTTCCTTGTCTCCTTCTTTTCCCTCTTATCAACTGACCTGAATGGTACTGGATAGTTGAGAGCCCAAGCCTATAACTCTCAACTATCTAATCCTTTTAGATCACTGGTGAGGAAGGGTAAGAAGACGAGGAAATGAAGCTGTTTCAGTAGTATTGGGACGTGGTCCAATACTAGTCTATAGTCTGTTAGCATGACCTGGTTGTCCCTCCCCTCTTCCATCCTAATGCCCCTCCTTCTGTTTTCTGATTGGTCTCTTCTGCAGCTGGAGGATGACAGGCACCACCCGAGGCCCAATCAGCTGCGGAGGCTGGCCTCCTACGTCTTCTCATCATCCACGCTGGAGACGGAGCAGTACCCGCACCCCGGAGGGTCCTTCATCCAGCGGAGCCGCTCGGCCGAGAGCAGCCCCGCCCACATGAACACTTCCACGCACAGGCGCCACGCTCCCCTGCAGTGCCCGGGCAGCCCGCGGAGCAGGCACTCAGTCCTGAACGTGTCGCGCACGCAAATCCAGCAATTGCTGGCGAAGCTCATGAACAAGAACGCGAGCTGAGGGAGGGGCACTCTGCATGCTAAAATGCATTAGCGTATACTCGTACACACCCATTATGTACATACACAGGGACATACTCATGTACACACACGCAGTTTGTAACCCAAAGAGCCATATTTTGGCGGGTTGGTTAGAACACAAACACATGCACGCTTGCACACACATACACACGTTCTCTCTTTCAGACACACGCAAACATGCTGAACTAAAACACATAGTTCAAACAACTCACTTTAATGTAACTCACTTTTAAAAAGTGAATAGCAAGAGAAGAAAAGTGCTGAGGGCAAAACATTTTTCACGCAGTAAACTCTTTAAAGCCTGCTCCTTGCACAGTCAGAGTTGCACGTGCCACAAAAATGTACACAATTTGAGTAAAAAGTGGTGGAAGTGTAAACTTGAGGTTTCTTCATCATTTAATGGTGCCGTGAGGAGGAGGAGTCACAAAACCGGGACTGTTAAGAGGCTGTTCAACTACATCGCGTTCTTCTTTTTCCATTCATGCTGAAGGCTTGAGGGATTGTCGTCGAATGCAGGTCATGTCGGTGATGCGTACGTAAAGGAATTCAATAACGCTTTCGGTAACACTTTACTTAAAGGGGCAATCTGTAGTTCAAACAATAACAAGGTGGAGATCCCACCACTGTTTTGGTAAACAGCTGAGGGATGGGGATGGAGAACTATTCTTGAATTCATAGACAGAGCTATGGATGCAAGGAATGAAGATCCATGATATCAAACTTATAGTTGTAACCATTTTTTGATGCATTGTTCACAAACAATGGAGTAAACCAAGCTTATATTTTGGCTTCTGATGGGTTACGACAGTTGAACTAAGCTCATGAGGCATTTCTAAGTTATATTCTTTAAGAATAAATGGGTATATATTAAAATTGATGTACCAATCGCAGATTGCCATGGGTATGATGCATTATAATGAGGTTATAACCCAATGTAAGTCATTATAATGTAGCTCATACATGCTTATAACAGGTAATAAAGCTTTATACCTGCAAGCATTAAGTTAAGTGTTACCACACTTTCCTTAAATAATATTTCCTCATAAGACCTATGTGCACTGTCATGATAATGACATACAGATGTCATAAGCAGTTACGGCCTCTAATGATAGGTGACTTTAAGCAGTCGTAAAAGAAACTGTGTCATAACAATGTAGAGTCATAAGTTATCCTTGTTTATCCCAAGGCATCAGTTATGTCATGCTCCTGACAGTGTTACGAGGGTCTTGTGACAGAGCATTAGAGTTCAATTATTCCCCAGAGCAGGCATGTGATGCTAGGGTGCTACTATCAGTGCTCTGCAGTCTTCACGCTGATCTTGTATAGCTTGGTCCCAGATCTGTTTGTGCCGTCTTGCCAACACTTGTGGTCATTGTCACGTCCATAACCATAACAATGACCATAGGAGTTGGCAAGACAGCACAAACAGATCTGGGACCAGGCTAGTTCTTGTGGAGTGTAAACAGAAATCTTTCAGCAGTCGGTCTTATCTTGCTTTTGGTGTACTTTCTAGAGGTGATTTTTGTGTGTCGGTTTGCTTGCATCTCCGTCCTTTCCATGCGTTAAAATGCTGGAGCAATGGATTAGGCAGGCCTCTGAAGGGTGAGGATTTTAGGTGTGGGGTTCCTGTTCTCTAGTATTCAGTGTCATGTTTTACGACAAGCGTTATCGTGGTTGACTTCAATGTACTGTACAGATGTACGATCTTAATTTGATGACTCTTTTGTTGCTGAGAATTTAAACGTGTAATGTGTTTGAGTTTTTAAAAAGGCTTTGAAATTTCAGACTTGAATGCTCTTAACAAAAAATGTATCAACCCCTACAAAAATGTCCATTAATTATAATACACATAATAATTCGCATGTCCTGTTGCTGCAGGATTATTTTCATGCTGTAGCAAACTGGCTAAAATTAAGATCATACATCTGTACTGTATTTCCGTTATGGCTACTGTGACCACAATGGAGTCTTGAACTATAGAAATTATAGGCAGTATCAGTTGTCCCATACAGACAGCTTTAGTATAATTCTATATGGTTCTCTTTGGCTTGAGGTATTGCAAATGTAATAACACTTACTGTACCAGTGTCCAAATCATGTTGTTATAACATGTTGTGACAGTTTATGACAACTTACTGTTGCCACAGTAACATGATTCAAATGGTATGATGCAGGAAATGGTGAAACCTACTCTCAAATAACTGTACTTAATTCAGTTACGTGACATAGCATTTAATGACATGTGCTACACTACATGACCAATAGTATGTGGACACCTGCTCGTCGAACATCTCATTCCAAAATCATGTGCATTAATATGGAGTTGGTCCCCCATTTGCTGCTATAACAGCCTCCACTCTTCTGGGAAGGCTTTCAACTAGATGTTGGAACATTGCTGCGGGGACTTGCTTCCATCCAGCCACAAGAGCATTAGTGAGGTCGGGCACTGATGTTGGGCGATTAGGCCTGGCTGGCAGTCAGTGTTCCAATTCATCCCAAAGGTGTTTGATGGGGTTGAGGTCAGGGCTCTGTGCAGGCCAGTCAAGTTCTTCCACACCAATTTCAACAAACCATTTCTGTATGGACCTCGCTTTGTGCACTGGGGCATTGTCATGCTGAAACAGGAAAGGGCCTTCCCCAAACTGTTGCCACAAAGTTGGAAGCACAGAATCGTCTAGAATGTAATTGTATGCTGTAGCGTTAAGATTTCCCTTCACTGGAACTAAGGGGCTTAGTCCGAACCATGAAAAACAGACCCAGGCCATTATTCCTCCTCCACCAAACTTTACAGTTGGCACTATACATACGGGCAGGTAGCGTTCTCCTGGCATCCGCCAAACCCACATTCGTCTGTCGGACTGCCAGATGGTGAAGTGTGATTCATCACTCCAGAGAACGCGTTTCCAGAGTCCAATGGCGGCGAGCTTTACACCGCTCCAGCTGACGCTTGGCATTGTGCATGGTGATCTTAGGCTTGTGTGCGGCTGCTCAGCCATGGAAACCCATTTCATTAAGCTCCTGACGAACAGTTCTTGTGCTGACGTTGCTTCCAGCTTCAGTTTCCAGCTTCAGCTCACCCTAGTAGTTATTTCACAGTTGTCTGAAGTTCGTTTGGTCGTAATGTGAAATCACATCACTGTCTGGAATCGGTAGCAAAGCTGTTATGTGTGAATGTTGACGGAGGAAAACTTGCACGTATCAAGTTCTACCCAGAGAGACTGTGTATTTTCCTGCTTGATATAGAAGTTGCCTCTAACCACAGATCTAGGATAAGATCACCCAACCCTGAATCCTATCCTTAACCATAAGGAGGGTAGACCCTGGACCAGTGGTTAGGGTGGACTAGAGGAGCTGTGGTGTCAGACAGGTATTATGCAAACAGCTGTGTTTTATGAATTGAAATCTGGTTCCAAAGTATTTCAGGCACTTACAGTGCATGTAAGATTCATCTCTTTTTAAAATGGCAATCACCCTGCCACTTGTTTTGTAAAACAGCTGAGGCTATCATGAAGCAAAATATTCTGGTTCCAAAGTATTTACAGTCAGCCACCAATTGTGCAAGTTCTCCCACTTAAAAAGATGAGAGAGGCCTGTAATTTTCATCATAGGTACACGTCAACTATGACAGACAAATTGAGGAAAAAAAATCCAGAAAATCACATTGTAGGATTTTTAATGAATTTATTTGCAAATTATGGTGGAAAATAATCTTCTTTAAGAGGCTCCTCTGTCCTCCACTCGTTACCTGTATTAATGGCACCTGTTTGAACTTGTTATCAGTATAAAAGACACCTGTCCACAACCTCAAACAGTCACACTCCAAACTCCACTATGGCCAAGACCAAAGAGCTGTCAAAGGACACCAGAAACTAAATTGTAGACCTGCACCAGGCTGGGAAGACTGAATCTGCAATAGGTAAGCAGCTTGGTTTGAAGAAATCAACTGTGGGAGCAATTATTAGGAAATGGAAGACATACAAGACCACTGATAATCTCCCTCGATCTGGGGCTCCACGCAAGATCTCACCCCGTGGGGTCAAAATGATCACAAGAACGGTGAGCAAAAATCCCAGAACCACACGGGGGGACCTAGTGAATGACCTGCAGAGAGCTGGGACCAAAGTAACAAAGCCTACCATCAGTAACACACTACGCCGCCAGGGACTCAAATCCTGCAGTGCCAGACGTGTCCCCCTGCTTAAGCCAGTACATGCCCAGGCCCGTCTGAAGTTTGCTAGAGTGCATTTGGATGATCCAGAAGAGGATTGGGAGAATGTCATATGGTCAGATGAAACCAAAATATAACTTTTTGGTAAAAACTCAACTCGTCGTGTTTGGAGGACAAAGAATGCTGAGTTGCATCCAAAGAACACCATACCTACTGTGAAGCATGGGGGTGGAAATATCATGCTTTGGGGCTGTTTTTCTGCAAAGGGACACGGACGACTGATCTGTGTAAAGGAAAGAATGAATGGGGCCATGTATCGTGAGATTTTGAGTGAAAACCTCCTTCCATCAGCAAGGGCATTGAAGATGAAACGTGGCTGGGTCTTTCAGCATGACAATGATCCCAAACACACCGCCCGGGCAACGAAGGAGTGGCTTCGTAAGAAGCATTTCAAGGTCCTGGAGTGGCCTAGCCAGTCTCCAGATCTCAACCCCATAGAACATCTTTGGAGGGAGTTGAAAGTCCGTGTTGCCCAGCGACAGCCCCAAAACATCACTGCTCTAGAGGAGATCTGCATGGAGGAATGGGCCAAAATACCAGCAACAGTGTGTGAAAACCTTGTGAAGACTTACAGAAAATGTTTGACCTGTGTCATTGCCAACAAAGGGTATATAACAAAGTATTGAGAAACTTTTGTTATTGACCAAATACTTATTTTCCACCATAATTTGCAAATAAATTCATTAAAAATCCTACAATGTGATTTTCTGGAGAAAAAAATTCTCATTTTGTCTGTCATAGTTGACGTGTAC